CTCTGTGTCGGTGGCGCCGTCCCTCCCTCACTGCGGTGGCCGGCCCGCCTCTGCCTCCGCCGGAACCTCTTCCCGACGTGAGCACCGCGACTCCTTGTCGACCAGCGAGCGGCGGATTGACGTCCTCCTGCCCAACCTGCGGCAGAGTGCGCTTGTCCGTCCACAGTATGAGGGCACATGCCGGACGTGCTCAGCCTGGCGTTATAATAGTTTGCGAGGGCCTCCCATGCGGATGCCACAATGGCGCCACCGTCTTCCTAACGGGTGCCTCGCGCGCAGGTTGCCGCCAAAGTTGCCAAGCATGCCAGCAGGCAACACACGCAGGAAGCACAAACGCGGGTACTCGAGATGGACCAGGCTCTTCCGCCATCGCCTCATCACGGACGCCACGGGCTGCTGATCCTCGACGGACCACGGGAAACTCCGCCTCATCCACTGCGGGAATGCCCTCGTCGTTGGGAACTGGGACTGCGACTGTTTGTGGCTACCCCAGCCCGCACGACGGAATACTTGCCACTTTTGTACGGACGGCCCTTGCGCTACTCACTCGTTATTGTAGCAGCATACAACCAAAACAAGATAACAAGCTGCTTTGTGGTGAATATTGGCTGCACTTCCCGTGGACCAACAGTCCGCCTGGTGTGCGGGGATACCCTTTTTTATTGTTACTTTGCTTTTGTGTTGCTGTGTGCGCTGCACCTTCTTGTGTGTGTGTGCGTACCCTCCGTGAGGGGTGCCGACACGACGGACCGCTCTCGCCGTATGTGCATGCGGTGGAGCCTTGTGTGCCGCTCCTGTTTGCTTCTCCCTCTTCCATCTGTGTGTTGGTGCTGCGGCAGGGCTGTGTGTGTGTGTGCCTGCTGCCGTGGATTGGAGTGTGTGTCGTGCGTGGTGTGCGGCATACGGTGCATGCCTGGCTGCTGCCCTCTCCTCATGTGGTGTGCCCTCTGTGTGTGTCTGCCGCACCTCTCGTCTCCCCTGTTGCTCTCCATTTCCCTCACTGTGCAGATCAGCTCCACACCACTGAACGACCACACTCACGATGATGATGTGCCGTCTGCTGTGCGCCCTGTTGGTGCTTGCCCTGTGCTGCTGCTGCTCGTCCGTGTGCGTGGCAGACGCTCAGTCTGTGCCTGAAGGGTCTTCCAATACGACCACGACGACGACCACAACAAAACCACCGACTACGACCACCACCACCACAACAAAACCACCAACTACAACCACCACGACCACAACACAGGCACCAACCACGACGACCACTACTACAACAGAGGCACCAAGCACTACGACTACAGAGGCGCCAGCTGTGTCGACCACCAGCGCACCGTCACGTCTTCGCAGAATCGACGGCAGCCTCAGCAGCTCTGCGTGGGTGTGTGCCCCGCTGGTGCTTGCCGCATCCGCGCTGGCGTACACCGCTGTGGGCTGAAGAGGTGTGTGCGGGCTGTGCGTGCCAGCACTCAACCGCGGGGATTTGTGCGTGTGTTGTGGTTCACTGTATAAAATAAGAGGAAATAATGATCTTGTTTTGCTTCACTTGCTTCTGCTGCCGTGCTGTGTGCTCCGCGTTGTGCCCCGCATCCGTCACGTTGAACGCACCGCGGACACACTCATAAGCATGCGCACTGGAGCCCTGGGTTTGTTTTTCTTTTCTTTTTTAACTATTGCTTTTTAATTATTGCCTTTTAATTATTGGTTTTTAATTATTGTTTTTTATTGCTTTTTAAACTTGTGGTTTGCGGGGCGGTGTGCGAGCTCTGCAATCGTACTGATTCCATCTGTCTCGTGGTGTGTGCGCTGCTGCTGGGGTGCTGTCGTTTGTTGCTGTGCGTGGTGTAGCGGCTGTGTCTCCCTTTGTTTTTCTCGTGCTATCGCAGGTTGGCTCCGCAGCGTTAGGCGACTCCACTGTTTGTGATGATGACTGGCCGTGTGCTCTGCGTCCTGTTGGCTCCTGCAGTGATGCGCAGCTGCTCGTGTGTGTGAGTGAGGGCTGCTGCGACGGGGTGCGTGTGCGGCCGCGGGTGATGGCGCGGTGACTGCTGGGCACGCGCGGGGTGTGATGGCTGCGGAAGGTGGACCTGTGGCCGGTGGCTCTGGACGAAGGGAGAATGTGAACTCTGAGGACAATAGCAATCAGGAAGACGAGGGGGGTGGAGGAAACACCGTGGGTGAGGACCCCAATCCCACCTCGGCAGGAGCACTCACTGCTCCGACGAGGCAGGACCAATCCAGCAGCGACCCACTGCGAAGTGGCACTTGCAATCCGTCCGGCACTGGCAGCGCGTCTGCTGCTCGGATGCGTGCAAGTGGACCGGAGTCTTTGGGCGGAGGGCAAGCTGCAGGCACAACATCCCCACGCTCCGACGCATCTCAGCAGGCAGCGGGTGGAGTGCATGCTGTTGGCGGGAGGACCTCCCAAGGCAGTCAGGCTTCGGAACAAACCGTCACGGGACAGTCACAGGTGCCAGGGACGGCGAAGGAAGCACCGCGGGGCGATGAAGGAGGAGAACCCGGAGCGCAACACGAGGCCGACCAAACCACAAAAATGACTGTGGTGACCTCTTGCGCAAAAACAGCGGTGGAAGAGGAGAGCCGCCAGCGGGATCGCAAGATGCACCACGTCTCTATAGTGGCGGGAATGCTCATTATTATTATTTTTCCCTGCTTTTACCGACATGTCTAGCCACACGATGTCATCAGGGTGCCGAGGAGGTGGTCGAGCAGCGACATGAGTTTCCTGCTATGAGGCAGCTGCCATTGGGAGAAGCTTTCGGTGCCAAGGTCCTTCTTAATGCCCAGCCGTTGGCGCACAGCCAGAGCGTCTGTACATTCCGGAAGCAGTTGGTGCAGTGTTTTCTGCGGGCTAATTGTTGCGCTTGTGGAGGCTGGCTGATCCTGCGGTAGCAGTGATTGCCTCCTGGCACTGCTGCTGCGGTGCCGATTAGCGTCTGGGTTTTGTGCGCGGCGATTTCTGTGCTGTGCGGTGCTTTTTTTGTGTGGGGAGGACTGTGTCGCAGCAATCGCGGTGGAGGTCGGGAAGCGGTGGAGGATGTTCCGGATGAAAGCACCGACAGTGGCCGATGTGGTTCGTGTGTCCCACCAGTGTGGCGTCACAGTGCGGGCATTTCTTCTTCCGACGCTGTGTGGAGGGCCGTCTCTCCACAGGCGGTGCGTCGGCCTCCCTTGTCGTCGGGGGAACAGCTTCCGTCCCGGTGTGGTGGGATCGTCGTTGGAGCGCATGAAAGCGGACTGTTCCGGTGAGATGTTGCGGAAACGGCGTTGGTTCGCGAAGTCTCTCACGGCCCAGTATAGTCGGCCCCAGAGCTCGGATTCCCCGCACCTTGCCGTGCAGTGTTTATCCGTTCCTGTTGGTCGAGGGCCTCCTGAGTGATTATGTGCTTGCCGCCTGGATCTGATGGCCTGGCACCGCCAAGCAAGTAGTGGTGGGTGTCCTGATGCATGGTGCTACGCCACTTGTTGGTGAGCTGGGTGTTAATGCATGACAGCAGGTCCGTGTGCCGTATGGGTGCTATTCCATGCTCCGTGTGTTGCCCGGTTGTCGTGGCCTGCGTCGCATGCTGATCTGCAGGCTCGTTAACGTGTACTCCGCAATGTTCGTAGCAAAATGCAGCTGCACGGACCAGCCAGCACGCATCAGCGACAAGAGACGCTGCCATATCCGATCCTCCGTCCAGTCGGTATGACTGTGCGGGCCCTTGGTGACGGCGGCTAGAAGGGAATGACTGTCTGTAACCACAAGCAGGGTTTTTGCCTGTGCTGGACACGATGGACACTCAGCCTTTCCATGGCCGGGAGCAGTGCACGGGACTCCGTCGTGCGGCTGCATGGGCGTGTGCCGCCGTTGGTACTGACCTTCTCTGTTATCTTCGAAAGTTGCGGGGATGAGAGCAGTATGCCAATCCCGGCTGAAGTGGGAATGCCGACACCGCCATCCGTTGCCAGTATCCACGGTCCCCAGCGATGATGTTGCACCTTGTCGCGGTGTTGGGGCTTTGGTTGCGTATAGGAACTCCGCAGCAGGGCGTTGCTGCGAGCACGACGGAGACCAAGGTGACTTCACCCCCCGAGAAGGTTCCACGCCATGCCCGGTGTGGGGAGGTGAGGCGGTCTGCCTGCAGACTGTCGGACAGAACTGCACGACCGTTTCGCAGCGGTCACTCTGTTGATGTCACCCGTGGCGGTGACGTTCACAACCCTGGCACCGAGGAGGATGGCTTCATCACTATTTGGCGGCTTAAAATTGCAGGCCTCTCGTCCGTAAAAAGATTGCATTTTCGGCGCGATGGGAGCAGCGTCCACCTGACATCGTTCTTCTGCAGGAAATAAGTAACCGTGGTGACGTGGCGACGAAATTATGTGGCCATAATGACTACCTTCAGGCCTCACTGGGCGCGGTGGTGGCGCTGCCGTTCTGGTGCGCCACTCTCTACCGTGCGAGCGCCTGTCGCTCCCTGGCACTGACCTCCTGGAGACCATTGCTGTCCGTGTATTTCCGCCGAGCTGTCGCAGCATTTGCGTGGCGAGTCTCTACAACCCTCCCACAGCAATTGGTCAATAATCCGCATTTATCAATATCGTTTGTCGCTTTTGCCCGAAGAGATTATCGCGGGTGACCTGAATTTACATCGTGAACTCTGGGACAGTCATATATACCATCAAGGACTGGAGGCGATAATTTCGCTGCTGTTCTAATCGATATGGATTTTGGGCTGGCAAATTACCCGACACAGGCAACACGGATCACACATCGTAATGCCTCGTCCCCTGACGTGGCTGCGTATTGCGCCCTACGCGTCTCCCACTGGACATTCGCCCCTTACATGGACTCGGACCACTGCTTAATATCTTACTTGGTAGAGATGGACGATGTCACTCCACGACTAGCAAACACGCTGCCTTGACGGAAGAAAGCCACCTTTGCCCTGCGCAAAGCGGGTTGGCCTGCTTTTACATCGTTGTGTGAAACCCTCCTTGCCACCGCGTCCACATGGTTGGATCCTCGCGGAGGCATCTTACGAGCAGCTGAGCGCCACATCCCGCGCGGCAGCCGTGACAGCTCCAAAAAGATATGGACACACGAAATGGAACAGGCGGAGTCCGCCGCCGAGGCAGCACACGAAGCACACACATTGCCTCACCCGGAGACAGCCTACTTTGAGCCGAATGTACCCGAAAAAAGGAGGAACGAAATCAAGCCTTACGCCGTGGCTCCGCTGTGCTTCTGGAGGCCCGCGCGAAAGGACTTGGAGCCTCACTCAGCCCGAGGTGGCGATATCTTCACGGCGTGGCGGCGCCGCACCCTCATCCTCTGGAATCGGTTGTGCTCCGCACCGAACTTGGCCGCGTATGTGCCCTGCCTCGGCAACAGGCAAATCTGCTTGTCTGTCATTTTGTGCGGTTTCATGTGCCATACCGCCTTATACTGCTGCTGCTTGCTGCACTCCTTTGGTTCCTGGTGGCTGGGAAATGGATCGGCCTTTCCCACCGTATGAAATTGACGTGACCATCCGTGACTCTTTGCTTGGCTCAGCCCCTGGCCCCGACGACATGTTGAATGAATTCCTGCACCGTCTCGGGCCCGTTGCGCGTGGCACACTTAGAACGATGATCCACAACTCCTTCGCAAACGGCAGCCTGCCTGGCTCCTGGAAAATGGGAGACGCTATTTCTATTCCCAAGCCTGGGAAGGACCCATGCCGCCCAGAGAGTTACAGACCCATCACGCTGCTCTCTGTTTTACCAAAGTTAACCGAAGGAATGGTTCACCGCCGTCTGTCAGCGTTATTGCCGCACCACCCACGTCAATTTTGGATTTGCACCTCCGCGTTCTACGTCGGACGTGGTGGCACTTGTTATCGACAAATTACTCGTGGACTGAATGAGTTTGGCATTGTGGAGCATGAGCGCCCTGGAGACGACGCCCCCACACGACGCCCTCGTCGCCATCGCTTGTGGTCTCGATTGATTTTCCGACTGCGTTTGACACCACTGACCATGGGAATTTATTCTGCATGCTTGACAGACTTCCGCGCCTTGGCCTCGAACCAAACGCTGGCTGCACAACCACCTGCGGGGCCGCTATGTTAGGGTATGCACTCGTGAACAGCACTCCCGGAAACAGCTCGCCTCAGCTGGAGCACCGCAAGGCGGCGTCCCGCGACCCCAACTCTTCCTCTGCTGTGTGGATGGTCTGCTGCGCCGCCTGGACAGCATCTATTCTGCCTCCGCTTTCATGTACGCTGACGAACACACACTTGTTGCCTTGTGTGCAGACATCCATGCCTGTGCTGCGGCAATGCGACCGCTCTTGTCTCTTTTGTGGCCACATGGGCTGCCGAGCACAGCCCAACAATCAACGTCGCTAAGAGCGAAGCTGCTCTATTCCACATCTCTTCACACACACACGGT